CGCCTGGCTGCCACCCAACCCATAATGCATTGCCTGCTTCCCTCCCTCCCCCCATTTCCCCTCCTGCAAAATTGAGTTCAGTGGCGACCCCTTTTTCTTGCAATTCCTTTCCGTTCCAAGCGTCAGCAAACATCACCCACGCAGACCGTGAAGAAGAGTCTTTGGGGACTGGCACATCATTCCGGGGGGCAGGGGAGGAGTGGGGAGGGCTAAGAAGGGAAGCTGGGGATGATGGGAAATATAGTGCCCCGCTCTCAGGAAGAATGTTCCCTTCCTCTCCTCTCCCTTGGCCTGGGAAGGGCTTTCTGCTGGGGTCCTATTTTTTATTTTTATTTTTTCATTTTCTATCAGGGTCCTGTTTTTCCATTTTTTCCCCCAGTCGTTTTTGCAGCCGACCACAGCTGTCCACTTTGCCCAGGGCCGAAGAAGCAGCGGGAAAGGCTGCAGAATATTTATGTCTCGAGCAGACCGGATCACTTGCTCTATTAAGCACGGTTTAAATCATCCCTGCGCCCACCCACCCACCCCAGGGCCTTGGGGTAGGCATCAGCCATTAAACACCCCATTAGCCTGCATTTACAAATCTGCAAAAGGCTGGAGCTGCCCATCTGACGGCCGCCAAGGGGGAGGAGGAGAGACAGGAACACAGCCGCCTCCTCCATCTCAGCCCCCAGGCGCTCTTGGCCACTCATCACACACACACACAGAGAGCTAGAGCTCTCCCTCCACCCAAGAGGAAGGGGCGAGCTCACTCCCTCACAGTCACAGTTCCCTGGAAACTCTGCCCTACGTCCCAAAGTGCATCTAAATCAAGGGTCTCCAAACCTGGTAACTTTACAACTTCTGGACTTCAATTCCCAGAATTCCTCAACCGGCATGGTTGAGGAATTCTGGGAGTTGAAGTCCACACATCTGAAGGCTAAGGAATTCTGGGAGTCGAAGCCCTCAAGTCGTAAAGTTGCCAAGGTTGGAGAGCCCTGATCTAACTATCTTCTGCGTTGTCTGATATTCAATAATGGAGTTCAGGGCTCTTGGTGTTCTTTGAGCTGGGCTGTTTTCCCACAACCATGTTGTCACCAGGCTAGGTACCTTCTTCAATTCATGAGAAAAGACTTTTTAAAATAATAATAATAATCATAATAATGTATGCATAGCATTACAATCAAATCCAAACACGCAAGGGAATTCCTTAAGGGTTGGTCTCCCAACACATCATCTGTCAGAGATGATGCATTGCAGAGGAGCAAGACAACTCAGTTGAAACAGTTTGTGTGAGAGAAAGAGGGTGAAGACAGCTCCTCCCTAATAGTTCTCAGAGTACTGTATATTCCTTATGGAAGTGTTAGCATCCTTTAGTTGGGCAAGATTCTGTCTATGGGTGAGGAACAATAAAGAAATTTGCTAGGAAGAATCACAATGTCTTTGTTGGTTTTGGAAGCTTCCTTCCTTCCTTCCCTTCCTTCCTTCCTTCCTTCCTTCCTTCCTTCCTTCCTTCCTTCCTTCCTTCCTTCCCTCCCTCCCTCCCTCCCTCCTTCCCTCCCTCCTTTCTCCAGGTTTACAGAAGGCAGAGCCTGCATTCCAGAGGAGCAAGAGACAATTCAATTGGTGAAGACGGTCCCTTCCTAATGGTTCCCAGAGTATATCTTTAAGGATGCAAATGGACTGTTTTAATCCCACAAGATTCTGTCTATAGGGGAGGAACAATAAAGGAACCTGCTTAGAAGAACCTCAACGTGCCTTTCCTGGTTTTGGGAGCCTGACAGGGATGGAGAAATCAGTGTGAGAGAAAGTGGGTGAAGATGGCTCCTCCCTAACAGTCCCCAGAGTATTTATTGCCTTATGGGGGTGTTTGCATGCTTTAGTCTGGCAAGATTCTGTCTGTAGGCGAGGAACGATAAAGGAATCTACTTAGAAGAATCACAGTGTGTCTTTCTTAATTTTGGGATCTTGACAGGGACGGATAAATCTAAAAGAAGAAGGAACAAAGCCTTCCAGTCCCCAGGAGCATCAATCATTTATTCCAGAAATAATGCCTGTGACTCTTACCAGGAGGAACATAAATGGAAGCGACTGCAGTGTTTGTGAGTGAGTGGACCCCTGCTTAGACCGCTGGATCAAAGAGGGTTTAGCTCCAACTTCTGCTGACCTTCTCGCTCCTGGCTGCAGCCCCTCCCCCGACAGAGAGATTGGCACGGGATGAAACATTAGCAGTGGTCAGAAAGACCCTCGAAGCCCTCCCTCCCTCCCTCCTTTTCTCGCTCCGGGCCACAAATCCAGCTGAGCTCCTCTATTAGTGCGAGAGACGTTTGTCAGATCTCCGAGCAGACACATGACTAATTTCACAACGTTAATTTGCCTCAGCATATTAGAAGGCCTTAATTCTGTCCCTCCGGATCCTCTTATGCCGGCTGTTACCTTGTAGGCACCGCATAGCGGTAATTGCCATTGTTAGCGGAGTTGTGTGTGCTGTGAAAACAAGAGGGATCAAGGAAGATTGGGCTTGACATGATGAAAGGCGAGTGGGGAGGATGCCAGCGGATGTTTGCCACAAGGCTAGCGGAAAAGAATGGCAAGGGAGAAATCCGGGTCGGCCATAGAAACATAAGAGCACAGCTAGGGAGCCCTGGGCACTTCCAAGGGCACCATAAGGTGCTCGGAGAAAGACGGGACGGGCAAGCTACGAAGGTCTCACTCTGAAGGTCTATGGATGCCCTCAATCACCCAGGTCATGGTTGCCCCAAGGAGAACTGAAGAAGCTGCTTGGAAGAGAAGCGAAATGTTTTCAAAGAAAAACAAAACCCCAAGAAAGTCCAGTTACCTTTTGGAAAAAGCACATTTGGGATATGAGTTCACTCAAAAGCAGGGCAGTTGGCATTACCAGTGGTCCTTGAATTTGTGGCCACAGCTGGGAACAGAATTTCAGACAAGTAAGTTGTGCTCAATTTTATTTCTTTTTTTGCGTTGGTTGATTGGTCATGTCACTTTTTTCAAGGTTCCCATAACTTTGAATGGTTACTAAAGAAATTGTTGTAACAAGTACCTATATCAAAACACCTGACTAGAAAAAGAAAGAGAATAAAGGCAGGCGGGCAGGAAAAAAAAAGAAAAAAGAAAGAAAGAAAGAAAGAAAGAAAGAAAGAAAGAAAGAAAGAAAGAAAGAAAGAAAAAAAGGGGGAGGGAGGGAGGGAGGAAGGAGAGAACGGGAGAGAGAAAGAGAGAAAAGAAAAATGAAAGAGAAAGAGAGAAAGAAAGAATAAAAGAAAGACAGAGAAAAAGAGAAAGAAAAGAGGAAGGAAGGAAAAGAGGAAGGAATGGGAGAATGGGAGAGAGAAAGAGAGAAAAGAAAGGAAGGAAGGAAGGAAGGAAGGAAGGAAGGAAGGAAGGGAGGGAGGGAGGGGAATTCTGGGAGTTGAAGTCCATAGGCCTTACAGCTGCCAAGGTTGGACACCTCTGCTCTAAGGAGAACTTCCCTTTCCAGCTCGGTGCTGAAGCATATGGAGATGGACCTTCCCCATCACAGGTCTCTCTTGTTGTGGTGGCCTGAAGACCAAGGTCCACATCATCTTCAGCTCCAGGCCACAGGCCACCCAGAACCTGCACCTAAACAAGGCTGCCTCCAGAAGTTCTGGGTGCTCCAACCCTGGAGGTGTTTAAGAAGAGACTGGACAGCCATTTGTCCGAAATGGTATAGGACCTCCTGCTTGAGCAGCAGGTTGGACTAGAAGACCTCCAAGGTCCCTTCCAACTCTTGTTATTCCCTGCTAGCTAAAGTGGCCGATAAGAAAAGAACAATCCAACATTCCTACAGTAAGGCGGTATCTTTATGGCCCAAATGAGATATGAAATATTCAGAACATTTTAGGTCCTCTTCCACGAGCATATAAGAAACATACAAAACCACGATCTCTTGTTGAGAGGAACATCCAATAAATAAATCACAAACCAGCCATAGCTGAAACCTACTTTAGACTGAAACTTGCTCCAAAAACAAAGAAACAAACAAAAAATCCATCCCCCAGTTCGAATCCTGCCTTTCCACCACATCTATAATGTTATTCCCTCCCTTCCCCTTCCCCCATTTAAAAAACAAAAACAAAACAGGCTTTGAAGAAAGATTTCCTGCCTGTATTAAGCTGACTTGAGAAGGAGTTTGACAATCCAGCATCAAAAGAGAGCTGAAGCCGTGCAAAAGGAGCCTCTGGAGAACTTGGGATGAGTCAGGCTAGTCACAAGCAGCAATTCCATCGGCACCCACTGAGCTCATCGCCTGGATGGGATAATGACATTGCCGTGGTGAGTCAACAGCCTCTGCCACTCATGCCATCCCTTCGTCATCCTCCCAAAGAGAGAGCAAACACAGAACCTGATTCACTTCACCCGATGAAAAACAAGGCATTGGATATGCCCACTTTCCCAGGGCCAACTCCAAAATTTACGCTTGGCAGCCTCTGTCAGTGCGAAAAAGCCGTCCAGAATCCCCCAGGAATGGAGAATATAGTATTAAATTCTGTCAAATCCTGGCAACGACGTGTCTACTCAACTGTGTTTTTCAAAAATAAGGGTATACAATTCCCATCTTTTGCAGCCCAGCTGGAAAAGACGGTGAGAACGAAAAGAAAACCTGGAAATGCTTTGGGTGAGCAAGACCAATTTTGCTCTTTCTCTCTTGCTGAAAAGCCACAGGGGAAGAGAAAGATTTCAGCATTTAAAATGTAGATTTTAGAGGACCGGAGGAGGCTTCGTAGCCTGGCAGAAACCACTCCAGCCTCGGTGCCCATAGAGGCATTCAACGTCAACTCAACACTCAGTAAAGTTCCCGTTGGCTGCCCTTGACATTCATCACTCTGGCAGCCCTCCGGCTTGAGAGATCTTGCCAGCAGCAGCTCCCCCGTCAAGGAACAGCTGGAGGGTGCCCAAAACAAGGTCCTCAGGTGCACAGACTTGAAAATAAGCCATGTCGTAGCCAAAAGGGCATCACCAGGTAGCATCTGAACACTCACCGCTTGGATGTCCTCAATTGCAGGATCCGGCTGAAGAGGCGCATCCAATTCTCCTCTGCTTCTCCACCCTCTGCGTCTTCTGGGTCCTTCTCCTTGAAAACCGGGGCTATCTGTCAAGAGAAATGCATGGGTCACTCCAGATGAAGCTTTCCCAGAGAGAATACCAGAATTGGAAGGGGCCTCAGAGATCTTCTAGTCCAACCCCTTGCCCGAGCAGAAAACCGTATAACATTTCAGACAAATGCCTGTCCAATCTCTTCTTGAAAGCCTCCAGTGATGGAGCAGCTACAACTTCTGGAGGAAAGCTGTTCCACTGATTAATTATTCTCACTGTCAGGAAATTTCTCTTTAGTTGTAGGTTGGTTTTCTCCTTGATTTGTTTCCACCCATTGCTTCTTCTCCTGTCCTCTGGTGCTTTGGAGAATAAGTTGATCACACACACCCCTCTCTTTTGTGGCAGCCCCTCAAATATCATGTCACCCCTAGTCTTCTTTTCATTAGCCTGGACATTCCCAATTCCTGCAATGCTCTAGCCTGTGAAATGTGGCCTTACTAAGACTTTATAAAGCACTACTAACCCTTCATGTGATCTTGATTCTATCCCTCTCTTAATGCAGCCCAGGACTGCATTGGCTGTTTTGGCAGCTGCCAAAATTAATATATGTCTTTTCCCGACTCTCTTTCCATACTTAGTAGTTCCTGTTATTCTGCGTAATGCCTAGGTAAAATTTACAATACCTAGGGAAATATATATAACGTATTAAAATAACACAGACGTTTCCCATTTCGCCTAAAAAAACGCCAGGCATCCTATAGATTTCCTAGGCATTGTAGACAGTGCCAGCTTTTGACAAAATTGCCGGTAACATATATTGGGAGGGTGTTTACATAAAAAGGTTTAGGGGAAAGTAGGCTTTTCTTCCTTATTCATCTGCCAGAGGTTGTAGCCATTTGCCCAAGCTTCCTTTCCTTTCTGCAATAACCCTGTCAGGTTATTCTGGCTGATCTTCAAAACTAGATTTACGGCCAGGATTGTAAGGAGATTTTCCTACCCAAAGGAGGGAAGTGTGAGATGTGGTAAGGAGGAACCCAACATGCATTCATAGCTTGTTTGCTTTCGTCATGCTTATTTTGGGGCTTAAAAAGTATTTAGTAGAGTTACAAAAGGGAGTAAGCCGATTGCTTACGTTTAACGGTTGTTTGAAGTTACAACTGCTCTGAAAAAAAATGTGACTTATATTCGGTCCTCACACTTATGACCATTCTCACGGTCATCTAATCAAAATTCAGGGGCTTGGCAAACGGCAGGTATTCACGACGGTTGCAGAATCCCAGGGTCGCCACTTGTGACACGCAAAAACAATGAGGCCAGCCAGATTCACTGAACAACTTTGCGACTTCCGTTACAACTTCGGGGATTCGCTTAACAACGGGGGCAAAAACAAAAAAAAGAAGTTATAAAATTGGGATCAACTCACAACAATTGTCTCGCTTAGCAACAGAGATTCTGTTCCCAATTGCGGTTGTAAATTGAGGATTATCTGTACACAACACATACAGGTAGACCTGGACTTACGACCACAATCGAGCCCAAAATTTCCATTGCTAAGCAAGACAGTTCTTTTGCTCCATTTTATGACCGTCCTCACTACAGTTGTTAAGTGAATCTGGCTTCCCCATTGACTGTGCTTGTCAGAAGGCCATAAAAGGAGATCACGTGACCCTTGGGACACAGCAACAGTCGTAAGTATGAGTCAGTTGCCAAGCTTCTGAATTCTGATAACATGACCAGGGGGATACTGCAACGGTCGTAAGTGTGAAAAATGGTCATAGGTCACTTTTTTCAATGCTGTTTTAACTGTGAATGGTCACTAAGCTGAAGACTACCTGTATTTTTTCTGCCATTTATGTCTAGCTTGCCATTCTCTGTTCTGTTTTCCATGACAATCGCAACTACAGGGAGTCCTCAACTTACGACAGTTCGCTTAGTGATCGTTCGCAGTTACAACAGCACTGCCAAAAGTCACTTATGACCGTTTTTCACTCTTACGACCGTTGCAGCATCCCCCTGGTCACGTGATCCAAATTCGGACGCTTGGCAACCGACTCGTATTTATGACGGTCGCAGTGTCCCGGGATCCCCTTTTGCGACCTTTTGACAAGCAACGTCAATGGGGAAGCCAGATTCACTTAACAACCGTGTTCCTGACTTAACAACTGCAGTAGTTCACTTAACAACCATGGCAAGAAAGGACGTAAAGTGGCAAAAAAGTCACATGACTGTCTCACTCAGCAACAGAAAGAGTTGAGCCCAATTGTGGTCGTAAGTCGAGGACTACTCTAGCTGTAGAAACGTTCTCCATAGTAGTAACAACCGGCCTCCTCACTTAACAAGTGCGGTGATTCACTGAACAAGGCTGGCAAGGCAGTTGTAGAATGGAGCAAAACTCCCTTAACAAACGCCTCGCTTAGCAACCGAAATTCTGAGCTCCTTGGTGGTCGTAAGTCGAGGACTACCTGTACTTTGGTAGTCTTTCTGAATTCCCAGTCCTTCCTTGCAACATGCAAACTATCGAATGTTCAATGAAAATCCTCTGGGTTTTCAAAGCCTGATGTGACATTTCTTTCAAGAGCGCATGTAAATTCACGTCCCCAGCCAGCTCAGCTCTGAAGTCTCCTCTCTCCGTTTTCATAAATGCATCCACAAATATATTAAATGACCGAGGGGGCATCGCACCTGCCTGTCTCAGGCATGAATAATTTGCTAAATAGTTCGCTTATTTGCATCCCTATCTTTCTCCTGCCATGCGCTGACTGGTCTTTTTGATTCAGCCCCCAAATTTCGACTCTGCTACATTCCCTTCCAAATATTCCATAATTCATGCCTGTTCTCTTTATCAGGAGGTTTTTTCTCTAAATCAGCAACTGTATTTTCTCACTTTCAAACATTTCTCAGTGGCTGTCAAGGACCAATAACAGACACTCTCCAATCCAATTTCTGACAGCAAGGAGAATTAATCAGTGGTCGGTCTTGCCTTCGGAGGTTGTGGGTGCTCCATCACTGGAGGTTTTCAAGAAGAGACTGGACAGCCATTCATCCAGATGAATAATAATAGACTCTTCTTCTTGAACAGGGGGTTGGACTAGACAACCTCTGAGTTTCCTTCTAACTTGGTTCTTCTGTACTCTGAGCTCCAAATTCAAAATAAGGAGAGATTTCCTGGTTGTGAGAGATGGTTGAAGAATAATTTGGGGTTCCACGAGCCAGGAGGGTGCAAGAACCAATTTTAAAAAATGAAATCCAGACATACTGTGAGAAAGGGGACTCATTTTGAACTCAGAGATGCTGGTTTTCACCCATGTCCTTCCTCTGCAGATGTGCAGTTTGAGATGTTCCTGATCTGGGCTTTGATCCAGAGGTGCGTGTGAAATTTGGAAAGGTAGATCTCCCTCATATATGTAGATTCCACCTCTGGCCATCTCTCTTTATCCTGGGAGGGATTCCTGCCTCCCCATGGAGCCAGAGAGGTGCTAAAAAGAGGGGGGGCGATCAGAGGTCTATCAGAGCTATGAAACAATGGAAGATTCTGCCTCCAGATGATGTAGGCTCTCCATCACTGGAGGCTTTCAACAAAAGATTGGACAACTATTGGTTGGAATGGTATATGGTCTTCTGCCTTGAGCAGGAAGTTGGACTAGAAGACCTCTGAGGTTCCTTCCAGTCCTAGGATTCTATATTCTGTGCACAGGATGTCTCACATTTTGCTGACTCTTTCCACAACCCCATTCTCAACCTCTGGTGGTCTTGGAAACCAAATTCAGTGAGCCAACAACTTCTCATGACAACATTCAAAACTCCCTCCTCGGCTCCAGCCTTCCCAGCTTACAACCTTCTCATATCTCACATCAGGTCTTTCATGGATGCCAGCACCAAGAATCCCAAAGATGCTTTTTAAAGAGGCAACTGGACTTTCTTTCTTGGTTTTTCCCTGAAGACGTTTCACTTCTCATCCAAGAAGCTTCTTTAGTTCTTCTTGGATGAGAAGCACCTTTGGGACAACCTTGACTGAGAATCTCCCACGGGCAACACCAAAAATGTTCATTTCTGTTCCAGGCCACACCTGAACAGGTACCTGCAATCCTTCCAGCCGCATTTCCTCCCTTCGTCTTCAACCCAAGTCAGATTATCTCTTGCATTTTAAACTCAGCCATTCTGGGGAGGCCCCTGCTTCCCCCACCTCCAAACCGATTTCGTATTTCTATCAAGTGCATTCTCTCTTTCCCCTTTAATACAAACCAGCCCTTCTTCGCTTTGACGACATTCCTTGAAATTATCTTTTTTTCTCTCTGTGCACGATACTCAATATGTATTTTCCTCATTTTTTTTTGTAGCCATTATTCTCGGAGATGCTTTTTTTTTCATTCGCTGCCTTCTTTTTTTACATTTCCCATTAACACCACAGAATTCTGTGGCACTGGCAATATTTTTCCTGACTCCTTTCCAAGCATTTTCTGCATCCACTTTCCCTTCCTTCTGTTGGGAGACAGGTTGCTGTTATTTCACCAAAAGCTACCAACATCCAGAACCCCTGCTCAGAATCACAGATGCCTGACAGCTGGGACTGACCTCAAAGGTCATCTAGTCCAACCCCCTCCCTGCTCAATGAAGGATCTCTTAAAGTATCTCCAACTACATACAGTCCCAAATGGAAACAGCCCCTTTTACAGAGGGTCTTTCCTGCAATCCAATCCAATCCAATCCAATCCAATCCAACACAACCCAACCCAAGTCAAGTCAAAAGTCCTAAATGGAAACCGCTCGTTTTACAGTGTCCCCCCTGCAATTCAATTCAATTCAATTCAATTCAATTCAATTCAATTCAATTCAATCCAACCCAAGTCAACCCAACCCAACCCAAGTCAAGTCAGCTCAACTCAGCTCAAGTCAGCTCACTTGGGCCAAATAAAGGTTAACAGGCCAAGAAGAAAGGGGCAGGGACCTGCTAGTCATTTACTTCTGCAACCAAACAGCCCAGAGGGAGAACTTTGGCTGAGGCACTGGGAATCTGTGGATCTCCTTGCTTCTTGCTCTTTAAGATCTGCTCTTTAG